TCTCTGAAGTGGTGAGGAGGCTTCCGACCTGCCCCCCAGACATCCCGGCCGAGCTCCCTCACAGCACTTCTCACCTGGCTGCCCAACCAACCTCAGCACCTTCTGCTTGGAACCAGCTCCTCCTCCAGGACCAGCCCTGCTATGACAGACTCACCATCCTCACAGCCCCTGCCACCTGGATTGCTCCAAGCTCAGAACCCCAGAGTCAACAGAGCTCTCCAGCAACATCATTGCCAACTGTCACAAAATGTATCCAGACTGTTCTGTCCCTCTTTGCCCACTAGCACTGACCCCTGATCCCTGCCACAACCTCCTAAATGGCCTCTCCACGATCCTGTCAGGCACTGTTCTAGGCACAGCACAGATAATAGTCATCTACTCCTCCCAGCAAGTCCTGTTTTACAGATGTGGAAAGGGAAGCACCAGGAGACTCAGTTCCCTTAAGGTAATAAGGTAATACAGCTAGGAATCCCATCCAGGCACAGTCTGGCCCCTGAGTCCACGCTCCTCACCGTTCTGCTCCTTCCATGCTCTCCCTCCCCCCACAAATGGAAACACCCCAAGAACAGAGGCGAAGTCTGGCTTTTGGTCACTCTCACATGTCAGCTCCTAGCACTGTGCCTTGGCATATAGCAGGTGCTCCACAAATAGCTGAATGCATGAATGGGTTTGCACTGAATGGGTTTCATGAATGGATTTTAGAAATCAGAATACAAGTTGGATACAAGCAGCACATGCTATGGCTGCAACTGTGTGAATGTCAGGTGCCCACAAGAAGAAGGATGCAAAGAAACTGGCCACTGAACACACCTGGTTGCCGGGATCTCTTTGGAGTGTATGGATAATGGATGGATTTCTCCCCTACTGTGGTTGCTCATGATATTTGGAAACAGGCAAAATCCTTTAAGGAGGCTCTGAGATCAATCCCAAGGAATCTGTGGTTTCTCCTCAAAGCCTGCTTGTCCTTGGTCAGGAGCATACTGGAGGGAGGGAGTCCCACAGTCTAGATGGGACATAGCTCCCTTCCTCTGGCCAAAGCAGCCAGAGCTATCTTTCTTACCCCTCAAAACAGTGCCATCATCTGGGAGATGACTTGAATGTTTCAGATACCGTTCTCAGAGTGTTGCTTCAGCAGAAAATGACAGCCCCATGGAGCCCAGCGGGATGAGTCACAGTTTGCGTGCTCAGCACCTGTAGCAGGGATGCGGCCAGCTCCCACTCACTGAGCACCTACTAAGTGCCAAGCATGGTGCTGTGGGCTTTACACGTGATAATCACTTGAGCTCAACAGCCCTCCTTGGAAAGTCTTTTAAAACCATTTTTTATTTGTTTTTATTTTTTTTAAGAGAGGATCTCACTCTGTTGCCCAGGCTAGAGTGCAGTGGCACAACCAGGGTTCACTGCAGCCTCGACTTCTCAGATTCAAGAGATCCTCCCACCTCAGCCCTTCAAGTATCTGGGACTACAAGTGTGTGCCACCATGCCTGGCTTATTTTATTTTTTATTTTAGTAAAGATGAGGTCTCGTTATGTTGCCCAGGCTGGTCTTGAACTCCTGAGCTGAAGTGATGCTCCCACCTCGGCCTCCCAAAGTGCTGGGATTACAGGTGTGAGCCACCACATCCAGCCCTAGAACCATTTCAAAGGCAAGGCCACTGAGCCTTACAGGCAATGAAGACTCTGGGGCAGATTGCAAAGCTGATTGGCTGCAAAATCAAATGTCAACAAAACCAGCATACAGGTAAGCACAGGCCCTGTCTACAGGGCCCCTGCACCCTAGCCCCAGCCCAAACCGGCAGCTGAGGCTGGGAAGTACTCCGTTTGCAAACGGTGGCAACCAGTTCCATTGAGAGGAACCATGCAAAGTCCTTCTCTGTTAGAGAGAGGTATTTCTACATACAGTAATATGATGTCTTCCATTTGCTTTAATACACTGCCTGCGTGAGTGGTATATTTAAAATAGATGGAAGGGCAGATAAAATCAAACTTAGCAAAATAGTAAAAACGACTGAAGCTGAGGGCTGGGTGTATGGAGATCTACTCTTTGATCTGGTTCCTCTCCTCTTCCCTTCCCTCCTGTACCCTTTCTTCCTCCAATCCCTCCCTCTCTTCAACTTCCTTCTACTTTCCTCCCTCCTTTCTTCCCACCCCAGACTCCCATCACTCCAGCAGATGTGGCACATGTGGCTGCCAGTTCCCGACCCCTGCCCTGTGACACTCGCCTTTCTAGTGAAAAACAAAACAGGCTTCACTTTAAACTTGACCAGTTTGCCTCTTTCCTATGTGGTGACCATGTCTTTGAGGCTTCCCGTGAGAAGCCACCTTTTTCTTGTTTGTTTTTTGTTTTTTTTTGAGAAGCTACCTTTTATGTCAGAGCTCGCCTGTCACACCCAGCCCGGAGACCTGTTGCTAGTCAGCAAGCACCTGTGGTGACTTCTGGGGAATATCCTTTATGCTGTCATTTCTGACTGAAGTGTGACAAGGGCAGTGAATACGCTTTATGCCGAGTCTTCCTGCTGTGTGGAGACAGTACTCCTTTAAGCCTAGCAGACCATATCGAGTCAGGAGAACCGTGACCAGTCCCTAACAATTCTCCCTGAGTCAGCTTTCTCCACCTCATCAAGGAGACAAAGGCATGCCCAGCTTCCAGTCATGCAGCAAGTAAGAACAGCTTCACCTGTATTTTGTACACACAGAAGGCATTTGGTCAGACTGCAGAGTAGGGTGATTCTCCCCCGCAATGGTAGGCGAGGAGAAGCTCCAGTATTTACAATTCCTCCCTCAAAAAAAAAAAAAAAGCAAACAAAAAAAACAAAAACAACAACACAGGCATATCTTATTCTAGTACCATGTGCTTTTAACATCCATAATCCCTAGTATTTTCTGAATGTCACCCTCCTTAGCAAAAGACATAATTTGCAATCAGGCTGGGCAAAGACAAACAGCCATTACTTTCTTAATGGCCAACTACCCAAAAAGGCTCAGTTAAGTGATCTCAACTAGCAATCTAATCAATTAAAATTGATAAGTGAAAAACTTTTAACCTTTATTTCAGCAGGCCATTCCTAGGGGGAGGAGGGAAGGAATGTGAATTCCCAGCATAAAATTTAATTCCATTTCAGGGATGCAAACATTCTTGCTGCCCTGATGAAGCGCCCCCGGCCCCCATCCTTAAAGCAAGCCTTTCTCTCCTTGAATAAAATCAGAGAAAGACTGGTTTACGATTCTTTGCAGTCAACTCGATCAATTTAAACCCTTAGAGAGATCCCTGTGGCCATTTCTCAAGGGTGAAAGGGCCAAAGGAGACGGGCAGCGGGGGGAGAGAAGTCCCGGCTTCTTTATTCTTCGAAGGGAAAGATGAAACATAACAAGAAGGCCAGAAAGAGAAACCAGACACCCAGGTAACATGCAATCCTCACTCACTGAGAACCTCTACGTGTCAGGCGGCGTGCCATGCTCTTCACATGCACGATCTCCTGTGATACCGACTACAGTTTGCTGAGTACAGTTACACAGCAGGCACCACGTTTGGCCAGATATTTCATATGTTATTTCATTCAATCCTCAAAACAACTCTGTACTATAAGAAAGACCATCTCATGTTACAGAAGAGGAAACAGGCTGTGGCGGTCTAGTCATTTGTTTAAGGGAACACAGAGCAGGGTCTAGATCACAACACCATAGTTTTGTCAGAACTCATTGAATTACATACTAATGCTTGGGGGAATTTTTTTGTGTGTACATTACATGTCAATAAAGCTGATTTAAAACAGCAACAACAACCCGACAGAGAGGGGCCTGAGCTTTTTCTGCCCACTCAGTCACCATCCCTTCTTTGATTTTCCTCTGAGGGCTGTCTCCTTCCTCTCTCAAGTGATGGGGTTCAAAAGGAACTGCCCCCCACCCAACTCCAGAGCTGGGCATGCATCCCTAGCTTAGGCCATCAGTGAGTCACATTCCTCTGACCACTGGCTGGTTCAGGGATGGCCCAAGTGAGGCCAATAACATCTCTATCCCAGACTTTGGGAGAATTAAAGGGAGAGAGAAGCTCTCTTTCCATCAGGGATGCTTAGCTGGCTGAACAAATCTTGGGGTTGCTCATGGCCATCTTGCCACTACCTGGTGAGAACCCTCCTGAGGATGAAGCTGGAACAGAGGAAAGCAGAGCTCAGAGATGGAGCAGTGCAGCTTCCTGATGACACTGAGCACCCAGATCCAGCCATGCCTGAAGGCAGCTAACTCCTGGGCTTCCCAGTGACATAACCCAATTTCCCTTTCTTTTCTCTAAGCCAGCCTAAGTTGGGTTTTCTGTCTCATATAACAAAAGACTCCTAATATACCACAACGCCCTTAAGAAACAGAAAACCATGCTGTTCATTGGTGTGCCTGTGTCCTGCAGCAAATGGAGGAAAGAGAAAGCTATCCAAATACGAGAGGCATTCCAGGAGCACGGTCAGGCTTTATGCCCACTGTCTCCTTTAAAGCTCAGCCTCATGCTGCAGATGAGAACACTGAGGCAGCACTACACAGCAGAACAAGCAGCTCAAGGTTATGGGCTGAGCACATGGTTCTCCAGCCTCCAAAGCCTTCATCCTTACCTCAACACTGGTGATTTGCTTTTTACAAGTTTCTTTCTTTAGCAGTAGAATGCTTTTATCATTGGAATCATATAGAAAATGCTTAATATATAAAACCAACCATACTGGTGCCACTATGTTTACAGGGAGGGCAGGAACCTTGGAGTTTGTTTGCCCTTGCTTGGGCCCCCAGTTGCCCTGCAGAGACTTTTTAAGAGAACCTCGAACTGACCTTAAAGAACCTGGGGGCATTTTCTTCAAAAAGTGCATGGGACATGCACACTTTTGGCTCATGGTCACAGTTCAATGATAGTACAAAATGCAGCTTGCACACTGACCCTCCCAGCAGTGTGTGATCAGCAGAGTGGTGTCCCGTGTCCCATGTCACCCAGCCCCCTGCTGTGACTCAGAGCAGCCTACTCACTCAGATCCAGGACATCGTCAGTCTTGATCAGGTCCTCCTCCCGAGTCAGCGGCAACTGTGTCTCAGGCTCCCCTCGCAATTGCAGTGACAGGGAACGCAGCATGAAGAACACCCGGATGGCCTGGACCAACAGTTCAGAGAGCACAGAAGATTGAGATTGCAGAGTCATTTCAGTGAGATGCCCCACATCAAGAAATTATACAATGACTCTCTACTTAAAGAAAAGAAAGAAAAACCACAAAGCCCACTGCTTCAGGTACTGTGATTCTGGTGTTTGCTTTTACAGCAAGACAAAAGAAATCAAAAGGGGAGTAGCCTGTTTTCAGTTATCCACAGGTTCAGGTTTGGGTTACTTTACCTGAACTGAGCACTGTCATCTGCCAGAACCTTGTCCCCAAGTATCAGGTGACCTTTGTAATAGCCCTGCCCAACAGTCAGCCCTATTTCCTAGACCGGGCAACTGAGATCTAAGAAGGTGAAGTGACCTGCCCCAAGCCATGCTTCTAGCAAGGGCTATACCCCAAGTCTGTCCCAAGCAAACCAGCATGGACTCTGGAAAACCCAATCACTCCAAAAGTGTTTCAAGCTCCTACCTACTGAATATGGGGGTGGGGCAGACAGAAGAGGGTGAAATGAAATCCCTGTGGTCTGCAGGGCCTGCTACCTGAGAAAAATCCTACCCCCAGGTGAGTCTCTTTAACTCCTGGTCCCTTGGTCTTGTGACAAGGAGTGTGCTGCTGATGGGGCAGAGACCTTGCACCTGGCAGGTGGGCAGTCATCTTGGTTCCCTGAATGCCCCTCAGGCTTTCCTAGTCAGCAGAGCAGGGACAGAGGTGGATCCGCCAGCATAGGGATTCCTGGCCCATGGAAGTGGTGTCTGGTCAGAATTGCGTGACCACCAGGTACTTCCAAAGAGCAGAAACAAAGCAGAGTCCCAGCAGCCAGAAGAGTGTGTGCAGAGAGCAGCCTCCAGCCCTGCCCACCAACCAGAGCCAGGAGGCAGAGGGGCAGTCCCTGGCCTCAGTCCACGGAGAGAGGCTACCTGCAGGCCTCTCCCTGATGCACAGCTGCTGGGCCTGACTGAGGGTGCAGTGCCGGAGCGGGACAGTTCGAGTCAGACAGACGAGGTCTACATCGGATTCCCAGCTCCACTAGGCTGGGCAAGTTCCCTGACTTCTGTGAGCTTCTTTTCCTCATCTGTGAAATGGGCATGATAGCTTGCAGGCCTGCTAGGAGGTTCTGAGATAACGCAGGAGGGAAAGCAGCCAGCACAGTGGAGTAGGGGGTCAAACCACTGTCACCACCAGGGCACTGCAAAGGCAAATCCCAGTGCACCTTTGGGACTTCTTGTTTATGGCTCTGAGGGCTACAGTCTGGACCCAGGTGAGGGGAGGGTACCCTTTATACAGCAGTGTGCCTTCCAAAACTACAAAGGGGAAAATTACCGTCTACAAAGAGATGTACTCACACTGCCTCCTCATACCCCAGTCAATGAGGAGCTGATCAGCCCGCTTGTACCCAGTGCTGCCTTGGGCCCTAACCAGTGGGAGACCTTGGAGCAATCTCCTAAGGTTGAAACTGGAAGAGCAATCCTATCTCCTGGTCCCATGCGAAGGCAGTGCAGTCCTCAGTAAACTATAAAGCCCGAGATAAAGATCAGCTCTCATGTTACAATGATGACGATGGTGACGGTAGCATTCATATCTGATTAACAGTTTTTAAAAGTACAGTCTTCATAGACATCCATAACAATCAGAAAAAAAAGTGTAGTTCCATTCAAACCTTCAAAAGAACTTCTATGTAGTAAGCACAGATCCTGTGGCAGGAACTGTGGACATCTTATTGTAACTTTAAGATTTGATGGAGAAAGAAACAGAGCTTTTCAGTTCACACATTTGCTACGTGGCTGAGCTGGGCGTGAACTCAGGAATGTACGACACTTCTGTTGCTTAACCACGTGCACCAGGAAACTTAAACATCCACGGCAGCCCAAGTACCGAAGGCCCAAAACCTGGGTGGTCACTTGAAATACTTGGCAGCCTGAGCTCTCAAGAAGTCATGACCACGAGGATGAGGAAGAAAGGAAAAGGCCCATCACACCCAGGTCCAAGTCAAGGAGATGCTCATTTCTATGCCCAAACCTCCGTTCCTCTCGGGGTTCTGAAGGCAAATAACTCATGCAGGAGCAGAGCAGGTGGGTGAGAAAATAGAAACGTGTGGCTTTCTGTAGCCCATCACTCTGAACAACTGTAAACTTCCTATAAATACTTTAAAAGTTCAGAATTTGGCTCCCAATATGGGCCAATATCTGCTTTTGCTCTGCAAACAACACACGAATAACCAACAGTCATCATAAATATAAAATAGAATATAAAACACATACAGTCGGCTCTCTGTTTCCATGGGTTTCATATGTCTGGATTCCACCAAACGCAGATCGAAATATTCGAAAAAAAAGTGGACGGTTGCATCTGTACTCAACAAGTACAAACTTTTTTTTCTTATTATTCCCTAATCAGTATAGTATAGCAATTTATTTACATGGCATTTACATTGTATTAGGTATTATAAGTAATCTAGAGATGATTTAAAGTCGACAGGAGGATGTGTGTAGGTCATATGCAAACACTATGCCGTTTATATAAGGGACTTGAGCATCTGTGGATTTTGGTGTCTTTGGGGGAATGAATCCTAGAGCCAATTCTCCACGGATACTGAGGGAAGACTATACAATAAAATCCCTCAATACTTTTCCTGGTTCCTACCCCAACTCCTAGGAGAAGGAAGAACACATGAGAAGCCATGCCCATGAATGTGGGGAGGGCCGATTCCCACAGGGCAGAGAGCTCCACTAGAGGCAAAAGCTGGGCTCCCATGGGGACAGGGGGGTTATAAGGGTTTGGTAGTCACATTGGGCAGGCCCACAACTCTGGGAATTCACAAAAGAAAGCTAAAATATGAGCATAAGAGCCGTACAATTCATCCGACTACCCCCTAAAACAATAACCACTCTCTGGCTCCCCATGGCCTGCCAGGTGCTATGGCAGCTGGACAGTGTGGTCTCATTTAAGCCTTTGAATGACCCTGTGTGGTTCCGATTTTACAGATGGGGAAACCAAAGCAGAGCAATGACAGGCAGCCTGCCCAAGGTCACTCAATGAATAACTGGATTCCAAGCTCTGTGTTCTTCCAACCAATCACGCTCCTTGACCTCCAGAAGATTTCAGGCTTGGGACCCAGGGTTTTACTGAGTGCTTTTCTTTGCTAAGTAAAGAGGTAAATGTAAAAGTATTATTAAAAAGGAAAAAGAAATTATTATTCTTTCAGTCTTCCACAGAATACTAGGAAGGACTGACCCAGGAAGAACAGGTTAGATTTTGAAAAGGATGACAGCTGACCAAGCTCAAATATAAAGAGATTTCTCCAGTTTCTTTGCTTTGGTGAGTCTGGAAGCAAACTGGCAAACTCAATGTCACGGGGGAATCAGTCCAGTGAGCAGGGGAAGGTGGGTGGCTCAAGACACACTGTGGCTCAAGCTGGGGCTTGGTAAGCATGTGAATGGCCCGAGTCCAGGCTTGTGCTCTGGAAATGGGGCACCCACCATGCAAGTACAATGGGATGGCACCGGTGATGCGCTGAGCCCAGGAGCTGGCTTGGAACAAAGGCTCAGTTTTTGCCCTTCTCCTTCTTTGCTGCGTGTGCAAGCTACCCAGTTTAGGCAACAGTCTCTCAGGTTAGAAGCCCACTGAGGCCACATAGCTGTGAAAGTCAGTCGTTCTTAAGAGTGCCGAAGCAGTTTAATGTGGGCGCAGCCCCGCGGAAAAGCAATGTGGCAATGTGCAGAGAGTCATGAAAAAAAAACACGTTCATACCCTTTGAACCAGAAATTCCACTTCTGGGAACTTACCCTAAAGAAACAATTCAAAAGAAAGAACAACACTGTATTCATGAAGCTGCTCATTATAGTTTAGCTGAAAATAATGTAATACTGGAAGCAACCAAAATGTCTACTTGCAGGAAAATACCAGATAAACCTTTCTTTATGAGGCCATAAGAAACCAGACTTATTTGAACTATGACAACATGAAGAACTTCTTGTGCTATGATGAAAAGAAAAAAAAGAAGGGATGAAAGCAAGACCCTGGGACATTCTCTTTACAGACCAAGATGGAGGAGCACAAAAGATGTCTGAGTATTGTTTGTGTAGGGTGATGAAATCATGAGAGATTCTTTTCCCTTTACTTTTGAAGTTTTATGAGATGTTATTGTATTTTCTTTACTGTGGAATACACATCCAAAAAGAAAGCAAGATCTCCTATTTCCTTAAGGTCAGTGATAAACACAAAAACTGCCAAAGAAAACCTCGTGCAAATACATTTGTTTCAGAACAGCTTCCAAGATGACTATATACGGATGGCTAGTGGCTCAAACTTGGATTTTGCTATTCACCAAAAACTCCTATTCCTAACTCTCTTTCGTCTGGCATTAAGCTTCGGTTGATTTAGATCATTAAAGACTCCTTTTCTTTCCCACCCTAGATACTAGACTGCTCCATTTCTGTTCAGCCATGCTTCCTGAGTGCTTACTGTCTGCCAGGCCCTGGGCTTATTGCTTCACAGCCACTCTCATCTACCCTGGGCAACAGCTGAGAAGTAGGACACACGAGGGACCTGAGGCTCCGGGAGGGAGAGGAACTCGCTCAAGGTCATGCAGCTGGAGTTGGGCTTTGACCTGTGGTTGGTCTAACTGACAGAACTGTTTTCCTTCTTTACCGCTTCTCTCAAGTCTCCCTACATGTGGGGTGGGTCCAGCCCAAGCCCAGAATTCTGCTTGAATGTTCTCACTGGACCCCAGCAACTCCAGTGACCTTCGTTTCAACATGAATTTCCCTTCTTAGCTGGCATGGCTCAGTGGCGCCCTTGCTGTTTTGGTCGTATTTATATTATTTGTTCACTGTTCTAGTCTTGCATCTTACTCAGAGTTCGATACCTTGAAAATGTCCAATCATTATGTTGAAAGAAAGAATAAGTGATGTGGTTTTTAAAATGCAAGAGGGGGCCAGGCACAGTGGCTCACGCCTGTAATCCCAGCACTTTGCGAGGCCAAGGTGGATGGATCACTTGAGGTCAGGAGTTCAAGACCAGCCTGGCCAACAGACTGAAGAACCCAGTCTCTACTAAAAATACAAAAAAAAAAAAAAAATCAGCTGGGCATGCTGGTTCATGCTACTCTAGAGGCTGAGGCAAAAGAACCATTTGAACCTTGGAGGTGCAGGTTGCAATGAAATCATGCCAGGGCACTCCAGCCTGGGTGACAGAGTGAGACTCCATCTCCAAAAATAAAAATAAAAAATGAAGGTCACTGGAGCTGCAGGGGTCCAGTGAGAACATTCAAGCAGAACTTTGGGCTTGGGCTGGACCTATCCCACATGCAGGAGGACTTGAGAGAAGCGATAAAGAAGGAAAACAGTTTCGTCAGCTAGACCAAGAGGGAAAATTGCTTTATCATGAGATGCCTCCTAGGGCCTGCAAAGCGTTGCCACCATCTTCTTCTGTTGCTGCCCCTCCCTCACTTGCTGTGCTTCTTGAATCTGCCATACTTGGTCGCCTCTCGGGGACCGGACATGTGCTGTTCCCTGTCTGGAAAGTGCCTCCTTTATCACTTTAACCTTCCTGGCTCCTCCTCACCCTCCAGGTTTCAGCTTAGATGTCACCTCTGCAGAGCAGCTCTTCCGATCACTCTACCTGCAGGAGGACTGCTTCTCAGTCCTTGGCTATAGCAGGCGATTTCTTTCCTCTAAAGCTCTGACTGTGGTTTGATACCAAACTTGCTACTCACTTACTTGCTAATAAATTTTACCTCTCTAGGTATAAAGAGAGGGGTCTAGAGAGAGCAGGGACATGACTTGCTCATTTCTGCACCCCCAGGCAGACAGTATTTGGCATATAGCAAGAATCTAGCAGCTCTTTGATAAATCTATGAATATTTAGGAATGATTTGCCAGAAAGAATTGTTTGAACTTCTTTAACAAATCCTTAAGGAAAATAAAGGGTGGAGTTTCTGAAAAGGGTCAGCCTCCTTTAAAAAGTCTACTTGGTGGGGAAAAAAAAAAAGTAAGAAAGAAAACCTTTGAATCCAAAGGGATAGCTTGGAATGTTCTTTGAACACAAGCAAAAAACTTGAAACGAACCACATAAGCCCTCAATTGCTTGCTAAACCACGTAACTTCCTTTAGCTCAAATTCAAAGCACACCGCTGTGTTCCGATTTCTGAAGTGGGACTGAGGAGCTAAGCTTCTGGATGATTCTAGATGGCTACCTTGCAACAGAAACTGTAGTGAGATGAGTGGCCAAAGCTACCCTTCAGAAATAAATTCTTAAAGTTACAAAGGAAGCTTTTCTGAAGTGGATGACTTGGCTTTGAGGTAGCCTGCCTGCTTTTCTATCATTCTCCTGCCCAGGGATCCTGGGAGGACTTGAGAGTTGCTTTTGGAAACTGGTCAGACAGGCAAAGAGGCTCTAGGGAAGCTGAGATGTTCCAGGTCTCTATCCGTGCTGCAGCTAGCCACTTGGGCTGTGTATCCTATCCAGGGCAAGGGAGGTGGCCAGACAGCCTGGGGAAACTGCAACTATGTGACATGTGAGGGGTAAAGAGACTATCATCAAGACCTGTCACTGGCCTTCTGCTGAGTCCTCACAATAACTCTGGAAAGGCAGACACATTCTACTTAGCAAATGAAGACAGACAGTAGCTCAAAGCAGACAAGAAGCAACATATCCTCTGCTACATGTTTGACAAACTCACCCCTGTATTTCTCCCATTTCTTGCCTTTGGTCAGAACCACCTGCCCCAGCCCAGCAGGCCACGAGGTCATGAAACAGTGTTAAGAGGTGACAGCCAAGGTTCTCAAGGAGTTCCAAGGCCCTCATGATCTGGCTCCTGCCAGCACCCTCAGTCCCATCGCATCCCACTGTGGGCTCCAGCTTCAATCACCACTGTGGAGGTGCCAGAATGTGCCACATCTCTCTGGGCCTGTGCCTTCCTATCTGGTGTCTGTCCCACTTCCTGCTCCAGGAGGGATAAGTGACCTGACCTAATGCTGCTTGAATAAGGGCCCGAGCCACATGGCCTGCTTCTGTCTCTTCACTTTGCCTTCTAGACTCTGATCCCTTCAGGACTGGGGCTGTGTTTTTGACATCCCTGTGTCCTAAGCAGATCTAGTCGATCTAAAGAAGGCAGTGTGGGAAGCAGTGGATCAGAGTGCCTAAGAGTCTAGGTTCTGGGGGCCACACTGCCTGGGCTGACTCATGGCTCAGCTACTCACTAGCTGGGTGACCCTGAGCAAATCACTGGACTTCTCCATGCCTCAATTTCTTCCTCTGTGGGCCGGGTGCAGTGGTTCACACCTGTATTCCCAGCACTTTGAGAGGCTGAGGTGGGCGGATCGCTTGAGTCCAGGAGTTCGAGACCAGCCTGGGCAACATGGTGAAACCCCATCTCTACAAAAAATATAAAAATTAGTAGAATGTGGTGACACATGCCTGTAATCCCAGCTACCCAGGAAGCTGAGGTGGAAGGATCACTTGACCCCAAGAGGTGGAGGTTGCAGCAAGCTGAGATGGCACCACTGCACTCCACCAGAGTGACAGAGCGGCACCCTGTCTCAAAAAAAAAATCCTTCCTCTGTAAAATGGGGATAATAACAATGTCAATCTCCTAGGATGATTATAGAATTAAAAGAAGAAATACACATAAAGAACTGATTTAAATTGATCCACTTCATAACAGAGGCTATGCATTCACAAAAGTGGTAAGAAAAACCCTGATGAACTGTGAACCAGAAGAAAGAGTGTGGGCCAGGTGTGGTGGTGCATATCTGTAACTCAGCACTTTGGGAGGCCAAGGCAGGAGGATGGCTGGAGGTTTCTTTCTAAGAAAGAAACTCTGATCTCACCGGGAGATAAAATACCATGAACAGCCTTGCAAATTCTGCTTCCTAGAGCGCCTACTTCAGAAAAAAAGGAGTTCAAGACCAGCTTGAGTAACGTAACAAGACCTCATCTCTATAAAACATTTACAAAATTAACCTGTAATCCTAGTACTTTGGGAGACTGAGGTGGGCGGATCATGAGTCAGGAGTTCGAGACCAATCTAGCCAATACGGTGAAACTCCAGCTCTACTAAAAATACAAGAATTAACCAGGCATGGTGGCACACGCCTGTAGTTACAGCTACTGGGAAGGCTGAGGCAGAAGAATCGCTGGAGAACAGCCTGGGAGACAGGGCAACACTCCATTAAAAAAAAAAATTAGCTAGGTGTGGTAGTTTACGCCTGTAGTTCCAGCTACTGACGCTGAGGTGGGAAGATGGTGGGAGCCCAGGAATTCAAGGCTGTAGTGAGGTATGATCGCACCACTGCACTCCAGGCACCCCAGGCTGGATCACAGCTCTTTGTAGCCACCAAAAAAAGGGGCAGAGTGGAATCCAAAGGAGCAGTGCTCAGCGTTCAGGCCTCTGGACCTTTTTGGCTCTGGGGCTGGGCGGATCTTCCAGGCAGGGCCTTCTAGGCACAGGATGCTATAGCCCTGCCTGAGGGTGAGCATGTCGGCATCAGGAAGCAACATACAGACATTTGTCAGAACCAGTCCCCCAGTGAAAGCTGATGCCAGAACGCCCAGTGCAAACACTGCCACCCACTAACAGAATCGTGCGCCTGGCTGGGAGCACATGGAAGGAAGGCGTCAGTGGCCAGGACAGGGTGGGTCCTGCGGTGAGGCTTGTGGGTTTGGTCAGACAGTTGGAAATGTAGATTGACTCAAGACACATGGTCCCACTTCCTCCACACCCCCAGGCCTCTGAGGCAGAATCACTAGCTGTGGGGAGGAAGGTTCAGACTCCTTGTGTCTGAGGTGCATATGACAGGTCATTTCTGCTTCGCAAAATCCAAAAGTGAAACACCTCTGTCACAGGCTGACACGGGGAGCTGCATGCAATGAATTCCTCTAAACTATCCACAAATATTCATGTCTCCAGGGAATGATTTTCTAGGAAAAGGTTATGGTGCTTTCTAAGAAAGAAACTCTGATCTCACCGGGAGATAAAATACCATGAACAGCCTTGCAAATTCTGCTTCCTAGAGCACCTACTTCAGAAAAAAAGGGCTGATAACAGAAGCACACACTGCAGCTGTTCTGAGAACTAATCTCTTCACACACCACACATCTCTCCTGCAGCTGGCGAGATTCATACTTCATTTGACTGTGTCCCAAGAGCAGCAGGGAGATGCCTCAATATCACACTATCTCTAGGGGTCCTGAGGCTGCTGGACTAAGATTTTACACCAATCTCACCTGCACTGGATGTACTGTGCTTACCTGCCATGGTTCACAAAAACCTGAGCTCAGGGCTTGACTCTGTCTGTACCGGTGAAGGCTATGTGCCTGCAGCCAACATTTGGTGGCAAATGCAATGGAATGCCAAATCCCACTTTCCAAAGAGCAACGTGCTTTGGAAAGTCACGCCTGGTGGCAAGTCTGTGCTCTCTATCTGCTAGCTAAGCTGTGTCCAGGGCAGGGTCTTGACTTTGACAGAGGCCCTTTCCTGCCTGGTCTGGGAGTGGTTCTGGAGAACAGTGGCCCAGGCAACGCCAGGTCTTGTGCTCACTCACCCGCCGGGTCTTCTCCACATCGCCACATGGCAGGCGCTTCACAAAGTCAATGCCCGTCAGCGGCGTGCCTGTTGGGGGCAGCAGGATGGAGGCATCCATCATGAGATATTCCACATTCATGGGCTTCATCTAGAAGAGACATCACAGGAAACCTCAAAAGCAGGTCCCTCACTTGGGAGTAGGAATGGGCTGGGGGAGGTTACACAGGCTCCTCGCCTTGACCGGCATTTAATAAACGTAAATGAGTAATCTAAATCCTGGATTTACACTGAGGTAAAGCCCAGAGGCAGCCAGATAAGGGAAAAATATGCCTTCTGGTTTTCTAAGTTGGATTTTTCCTTTAATTAATGCAGCAGCTCAGACCCTTGAGAAGTTGCCTCCTTGCTTGCTCCTCCTGGCATCCCCTCTCCACCTCAGCAGGGACAGGGATTCTCAGTAGGAGGCTTAGCATGCTTTATCCCTTCAGCTGCAAGCCCACCTGCCACCTGCCACCTGCCTCCTCCTCTCTGTCCTTCAGTGATGATGATAACAACTGTGGCAATGGCAGCTTCTCTTTAATGAGAGCTGACTACAGGGCAGGCGGTGACCTAATGCTTCCCACTTTGCTGATGAAGGAAGTCTCAGAGAAGCAGAAAAATGGATCCAAGGTCACTCAGTTGGTGGGTGGCAGAGCCAAGACACGAGGCCAGGCCTGCCTTTTCCAGGGCGTCTGCGATTCCCAGCCTAGGGCCAGTGTTCCTCCTTCCTTCCTTGTCCCCTTCACCTCTTACCCAGGATAACAAAACACAATAGTTTTTGGAGCATCTACTAAGCGTCAGACACCTGCTGGGATCACCTCCTGCTGGACGACAGGTGCTGGTGCCCCATCATGAAGGGACACTGAGCTTAGAGGACGAAAGGTGCATGGCCACGGCACTGGGTCAGAGCTGATGCCTCTTTGCACACCACCTCTGCAAAGCGTTCTTTCATGACTAAGACACAAGGGGACACCCCCTCCCGGCCACCACTCCCACATGTCTGCTGCATCAGTAGTGGTGATCGATACACACATGTTGCTGTAACACCAATACTTCATTTCTATGGCCTCACGGAGGAAGGGTAAGCTTTCTACAGAATTCGTTTTACTCTTTCAAACATCACAAGCTTTCCTGGTGTCTTCTCTTTTCAGAAAGCAGCCTTCAAACATACCACACTTGCCCCCTCCTGCTAGGTACAGTTGGCCACACAGGGCAAGGATACAATGAGGGCCCAGCTGCCCAGATACCCAGTGCTGCAGTTTGAATGTATCCCCAAAGCTCATGTGTTGGGAACTTAATCCCCAGTATGACAGTGTTGAGAGGTAGAGCCTATGAAGACAGGATTAGGTCTCATGAATGAAATAATGTTGTCACTGCAGGCGTGGCTCAATTTTGATGAGAGTGGGTCTGTTATAAGAGGGAGCTCTGTCCCCACTTGCTCTGTCTTGCCCTTCCACCTTGCACCATGGGATGATGTGGCAAGAAGGCCCTCATCAGATGCCAGCACATTGATGCTGGACTTCCCAAACTCCAGAACTATAAGAAATTTCTTCTCTTTATAAATTAGGCTGTGGAATTCTAGTAGAGCTGCAGAAAACAGATTGAGACATCCGGTGAATGGGCCAGGGGACCAAGGAGCCACTTGGCGCATGCTGCTTGCCTTTTTCTTTTGGACACTTTTAAGTACTTTCCTCCAGAGGCCTGAGGTCCTCCACTCCAAATCTTCTATCCCAGCAGGGGTGGCAGCTCCTGCCTCACTCAATCACTTGTGGCTCCTTCCCTGCTACTGCCACTGCCCCCACAACCTTCCCAGTGAACCCCTCAAGCCTGCTGGGGGCAGAGCTAGACCATCACCTCACTGCACCTTTTGCATGGAACCAGAGGCAATAAGGGAAACAAAGGAAGGGTCACAAGTCACGGCCTGACTTTGACGCAGCAGCCTCCGAGGGCCTGTCCCCACCTCCTTCCACTCAGAAGCTGTATTCGATGAGGGCTGATTTGCAGATACAAATCTCCAGAACTAGAATAAATTTCTTCCAACAAATCTGCAAATCAGCCCTCACCCTTCAGGGTGTGGCACCTTTGTATTTCTCTGGAATGTCAAGCATTGTATAGGACAGAGGATACTTGTTTGATTAAAACAAACAAACAAACAAAAGCCGGGAAGCTCCCCATGGTAGAAGGGGAGGAAATGAGTATTTGTGGTGTGTGGACTCCACATGAGGCCTTTTGTTGCCTTTATCATATCCAGCCTGGGGGGCTCTGTGGTAGGAACCCCACCCTATGGATAAAACAAAAAAAATCAAGGCTCAGAATTGAAGCAATATACTCAGGGTTGCATTGTCCAGAGCAGACAGTGAGCAGGGGTTTAGGAGCCGAGCTTTTCCACATGGTCAACTGCCATAGGAGCCTGACATTTCCAAACAGGAAACCAAACTGTAGGGAATGACATTGCAGGAGGATGTCTCAGGGGTAAGAGGAAATGGCAAACGACAACTGAATCCCTTCCACTCTAGTGAATGGTCTGAAGGGTGGAAGACTGAGCCACTCTCTAAGGAGCTGGAGGAATGATGAGGGGCTGTGAATGTGCAGCCCACAGAGGCCTGGCGCAGGGTGCTGCTGGGGCATTTCTGGAGATGACTTATGCCAATTACACCTTTCCCTTGAAAAGGCTCCGCAGCAGTCTCAGACAGGCAGTGACAGAGGACGTGGTGAGGGCCCATCTGTCCAGATTCCTGGGGTACGGGCAGGGAAGCCAAGGAGCTAATTAGGACATGCTGCCTTTTTCTTCTTGACACTTTAAACACTTAGGTTTACTATCAACTTCCCAAATCACACACGCTTTGGTGGGTAATATCCACAAGAAGGATCATCTATCATGTATTTATGGAGTGCCTAGCCAAGGGGAGGTGCTGGGATACAGAGACAAACACGCAGAGTAGAGAAAGCTGGATCTTCCGAACTGATGGCTTCCCGTGATTCTGGCTGCTGGAGGAGGAAGGAAGCCCATGTTGGCACTGCAGATCGGAGGAAGAGCTCCAAGCTGGAACATTCCAGTGGAGCAGCAAACAGGGAGGCAGGGACATAATACGTGGAGAAGCACGGGGGATGGGCTGTCCTGCTCTGGAAGCCTGGCCCTGCCACTCACTGGCCGGGCAGATTTGGGGACGTCACTAGACCTTTCTCAGTTTCCTCACTGGCAAGTAATACCCTTTGGCTCTGTGTCGCCACCCAAATCTCAACTTGAATGGTAACAATGCCCACATGTCAAGAGTGGGACCAGATGGCAGTAACTGAATCATGGAGGCGGTTTCCCTTATGCTGTTCTCATGATAGTGAGTTTTCATGAGATCTGATGGTTTTCTAAGCATCTGGCATTTTTAATCCTTGCACTCATTCTCTCTCCTGCCACCCTGTGAAGAGGTGCCTTCCACCATGATGATAAGTTTCCTGAGGCCTCCCCAGCAATGTGGAACTGTGAGTTAATGAAACCTCTTCTCTTTATAAATTACCCATCTTGGGTATTTCTGCATAGCAGTATGAGAACAGACGAATTCAGCAAGAAAGGGACACTGGCAGTAGCTATTACCATTGGTTGGCATGAGGATAAAGACATGTAATCTGTACCATATATTGTATACATCCAGCACCAAGTAACTCCTCAGTAAAATGATACTGCCCCCAAATTGCTATTCCTAGCAGAGTCTCTTCGTGACTCACTTGACACCTCCCAAGTGAATACAGTTTGAAATTTTAACAGTGATGGGGATTACAAGACACCATTCTAAATCTGCTTCCCCATTGATCTGTGCTATTTGGTCAGAAGGCCCTGAGTAAAAAAACCCCCTCCGGGATGGGCAGGGTGAGCTTGGCAGGAACATAGGCACACGCCAGCCCGAGTGTGTCCCAACTCCTCACTTACTGTCATGCTCCTGTACTCATCTTCAAACATGTCCAAAAAAATGTCTTCTCCCTAAAAAGAAAAGAAGGGAGGAAAGAGGATATTATTCACACTTTTTTTTTCCATAAACAACAGAGTATTATAAACTCTAGTTCATGGCTTTGGGGGCCATCTGTTTCTCATTAGTGAGTTCTCGTAAATCACCAGGAAGTAAAATACACACGTGAACACAAACACACATGCTCAAATGACAGACCAAATATCAAATTGCACTTCTCAAAATTTTCTCCTTTTTTAAGTACATGGAGAGTTCTTCTCTCAAAGCAGTTAATTTAAAAAAAACAACAAAAATAATACTATGTAGAATTAAAACATAAAAAAAGCTAATATTTCAAGTGTTTAACATCATCTGTTTGTCGAGAATGATTGGAGAAATGGAAAATCCTGGTGAAGTTACCATATTAGAAAGACGAGCCTCCACACCTCTGGAAGGAAGAGTATAACTAATTAAGGTTAGCATTACCCCATGTTTATGGGGAACGTGGCTTGTTCCATTTGTTTTTGAGGAGTGCTTTTGGGGTTATGTCATTCCTCAGGGTCGTGACCGCCCAGGAGGTCCCCTTTAGGACAGGGTGGTGGGGCTCTGAGACACATAACCAAATCCAGCTTTACACCTCTCGCCTCTTTGTCATGCAAGAATGGCATGACAGTCCAACTCTGTTTGGGGTATTGTGACAATGAAATGAGTTAACGCACATGAGATGCGAGGAGGCACAGAGCCTGCCCCTCAGTCAGGGGTGGGTCAGTGTGAGCACTCACTGTCATTATAATCTCTACTGGGTAATGACCATTACAACAGCTGCATCTCTCTTACAAGTTCTGAAACACACACACACACACACACACACACACACACACACACACAGAATTGGGGTGGAAAAGGGAATAGATCCTTTTTACGTTTTTTCAGTTGTCAGAACTACAACTAAATTTGAATATTCTTGTGTGATATAAGCACCACCACCAGAGAAGACCATTCCTGAAAACACCTAAGAACTGCTGCAAAATTATACTCGGAGTATAATAAATGTTATAGGATAAAATTAAGAAAAGTCTGGGTTGGGAGAAGGGATCCAGAATTTAAACAGAGCTCTCCTTTTGTTAATAATAAAGAATGACCTCTGGGAAATGCCTACCTATATGTCTTTCTGGTTTTGCAATCCAAAGCTTTCTAAGGGACATAAACTTAGGGCAGTTATACTGGCAAGAGGTTCAAAGATGATTAATGCATCCCTGAGGTTTCTGCTCTCTTGTGGGCTTTGCTAGTAGCGGTGTATCCTCACTTGGAGGCCAAGTGTGGCTTGGGATATTCTAAGGGGAAAGTGGGATTTCCTCCTCAGTGTGTGGGGGTCCATACCCTTGTCTGGGTATGTCCACTGTTCCAGCTGGATAGGGTCATCTGAGCTTGGCAAGGTGGATCTCCAAATTATATAACCTTGTTTTATCTCAACAAACACTGACAATAATGGATAGTGGCTTAAAAAGATTCCTGCAAAGAAATAGCAGCTTAAAGAGGACTTGAATAACTAAAGTACAGGGAACTAGGAGGAAATGGCAGTGTTGCCACCTTCCTCCTGTAGGAGGCACTTCATCAGCCACGTTAAGAGGGGAAACCATCACTCGCAGGATCTGCAGAGACCTGATCTGGAGGCCGGCAAATGAGAAAAATGACTATTTGACCTGTGGAATAATCCACCATGGCTGAGGAGTGATGAGCCCTGCTTGAAAGCCACACGAGGCTGGCAAGGCCTGAGCGTTTCTGCTCCCCATGCCCCCCAAATTCATATGTTGAAATCCTAATTCCCAAGGTGATGGAATTAGTAGGTAGGGCCTTTGGGCGGTGATCAGGTCGTACAGTAAGATGGTGCCATCTAAGAAAGTGAGCCTTCCGGCCAGGCGCAGTGACTCAAGCCTGTAATCCCAGCACTTTGGGAGGCCGAGGTGGGTGGATCACGAGGTCAAGAGATCCAGACCATCCTGGTCAACATGGTGAAACCCCGTCTCTACTAAAAATACAAAAAATTAGCTGGGCATGGTGTCGTGTGCCTGTAATCTCAGCTACTCAGGAGGCTGAGGCAGGAGAATTGCCTGAACCCAGGAGGCGGAGGTTGTGTTGAGCCGAGATCGCACCATTGCACTCCAGCCTGGGTAACAAGAGCGAAACTCTGTCTCAAAAAAAAAGAAAGTGAGCCTTCCATCTGTGAGAAAGTGGACCTTCAACAGATATCAAATCTGCCTTGATCTTGGACTTCCCGTCTTCCAGAACCGACAGAAGTAAACTTCTATTGTTTAGAAGCTATCCAGTTTATGGTATTTTGTTTTAGCATCCTGAATGGACTAAAACATATACCTTAGAGAGCTAAAACAAAACCATCCCAATTAGATATTTTTTAAACCATCTGGAACCTGAAGACAAAGCTCTGCAAATTTTTCAGATTCTGGAAGTCATGGTGGCACTTTACAAAATCTCAATAAACTTAATAAAGGTTTAGAAGCCTGTATAAGGTTCCTTAGCACATACTCACGTAAATAATATGCATGTATACAGTTCATAAATTGATAGGTAATTCATAATTTTATATGTGTAAGCACATATAACTCATGAACATAAGCTCATCATATATATACATAATTTACTCACATGTGTTTATATGCACATAGTTTATAATTTACATATAATTATTCCCAAATAAACAAATCCATGTATAACTGAGAAACAAATTGTTATATACTGGAGCTGAGTCCTCAAAAATTTTACTGATAAGAGCATGGGCAGAAAAGTTTAGATATTGCTGCCTTAGACACTATAAAATTGAGCATTTTTATTCAGTAACTACAGGCATAAAAAATAACTGAAGACACACAACATTTATCTGCATAGAACCAGACACCACACTCCTGCTTCTACAAGAGCCACCATGCTGCTGTCCATCTGTGCTCTGCCAATTACCTTATAAAAATGTCGTACAAGGTGAACACTTTCTTCTCTCGCACCCTGTAAAAGAGAAGGAAGGTGTGAAGGAGGCAGGTCTCATCTAGGTGAGCAAGTTGGGCAAACTACAAATTCTAAAATATGAGTGTGTATAAAACAGATCTGGACTAATACCCTTAATGTAAAAAACACTTTTTCCCCCCTTTTGTTGAGATAGAGTCTGGTTCTGTTGCACAGGCTGGAGGGCAGTGGTGCAATCTCGGCTCACTGCAACCTCCGCCTCATGGGTTCAGGCAATTCCCCTGCCTCTGCCTCCCAAGTAGCTGAGATTACAGTGCCTGCCACCATGCCCAGTTGATTTTTGATTTTTGATTTTTGGTAGAGACAGGGTTTCACCATGTTGGCCAGGCTGGTCTCAAACTCCTGACCTCAGGGGATCTGCCCATCTCAGCCTCCCAAAGCGATGGGATTACAGGCGTTAGCCACTGTACCTGGCCTACAAAATAGTTCTTATTGAGAGAGAGAGAGAAGAAAGGAGACAGATTTCAAAATAAAAACAGGGAATGGATAGGTAGTTCGACTGTAATGACATGAGAAGCTGTTAATATACAGCTCATTGGGGGAAAATGGGTTATAAAATATGGCCATTATGACGCCTTTTTGAGTTTATTTTTTAAAGACAGGATCTCAATCTGTGGACCAGGCTAGAGTGTGGTGGTGCAGTCATAGCTCACTGCAGTCTCAAACTCTTGGATTCAAGCAATCTTCCAGCCTCAGCCTTCTGAGCAGCTGGGACTACAGGTGTGTCTTGGCTAATATTTTTGTTTTTTTTTTTAGAGAAAGTGTCTCACTATGCTATCCAGGCTAGTCTCAAACTCTTGGCCTCAAGTGATCCTCTCACTTCAGCTTCTCAAAATGTTGGAATTACAGGCATGAGCCACTGCACCTGGCCCAACTACATTTGTGTAAGACAAATTCATTTATATGTATGTGTATCTATATACTTATACATACCTATATACATACTTAGTTTCCATTTACATATATGCAAACAAATGTTTCATTTGTATATATACATTTGCATATAATTACACATTACATATGTAAATATATACTTACACTGTATGTTTTCATATTGTATAAATAGAATTCTTTACATATGTAATTATTTGCTTATATAATACTTAAATATATTTATTTAGCTATATGTGTATATATATACACATATGTGTGTGTGTCTGCACAGACACAACCAAAGTGTCAACTACAGTTGTTACTTTTACTTCCCTGTACTTCCTAAATTTTCTAAAATAAACACAGAAAATAAGAGGGGGTACCATAAAAGCTACTGAAAATTTAATGAATGTATATTTTAAGCACAAAAACCATTATCAGTGTGTGTATATGCATGAATATGTCTCTATGTGCATAAAACTTTTGTAATACCAAAAGAAAAATTCTGAAGACAAATACAGAACCTAATAACTGTGACAGAAAGTACTAAAACTCAATTAAATGGACCCTTCAGTGAGTCTCAGCCGAAAGGAAGTCCATGCTAAATAAGTAGGCTGGAGTGGGGTCTCAGGAGAGCAGGCCCTGCAACTTCTAGCTAGTGACTGATGACACCATGGGCCAGGGCTCCTATCTGGATGCCAGCAGCTGCCCTCCCAGCCTCCTGTCCCTCTCCCTTGGCCCCTATACAGGAAGGAGGAGGGGAGAGGGCATCACCTCCAGACAGGCCAGGTGTACATCCTTCATGATGCAGCCAGCACTTGTCAGGACTTGCTGCTTCAGAAGCAGGCAGCTCAGCTCCAGTGTCGCCAGCCGGATCTTCCCATCTGCAGAGCACACCAGGGTAAGCTTTGCACACCCAGGGTGGAGAGCCCTGCAGCCCAAGGCTCCTGCCTATCCATGTCGCGCTCAGCAGGTGAGGTGATAGACCAACCGCTCATGGCTCCCAACATCCAGTGGGGACACAGAGGGAACTCCCCATGCTAAAACCATTCCCAATCAGTTAGAATTCAAGGTTCCACATCAAAACTGCCTATACCAAATACTTCCCTGAAGTCCATTTACTGGCAGGGGGTACAGGAAAAAGGGTGACTCAACACTACTTACACCTGGAGAGTGGCCCTGCACCCCGATTTCCTTTAGGGAGCTGCCAGTCCCACTCTGGTCATGTGATTTGGGTGGAGCTGGTCCTCCTTGCCCCCCTTCCAGGGTTGGGCACATCACCCAGCTGGATGGGGTGCTCCATTCCCTTGGTCCCAGTGACGAGGTAAGAACCAGGCAAGGGAGTCATTAGAGACAGTAAGGCTCAACCTCACAATTTGCTGGAACCTCTGGGTAAGAAATTCTCCTTGTACTGGGCTGAGCAGAGGACTGTGGTGAGGCTCTGAGGGGCACTAGCATTATAATCTATCGGCCACCTCTTCACCTTTGCCAGCATTTTCCATCTTTGTCAAGTACTCTGCAAATATCACTTTGAGATCTCTCTTTCAACTAGACTGTCCAAAGCTAAGCATCTCGCACAGAGCAAGTCTAGAGTCTCAGTGGAGAAAGGGCTAGCTGGAAGGGCTGGCATTTATCTTGTCAACCCAGAAGGTGGCAGAGACCAAATGTAGAAAAATACTGTTTGAGCCCCTGGATCCAACTTTGCCTGAATCCAGGCCTCAGCAGACTTTAAAAGCCAACACAGCTCTGTCTGTCTGTTTGTACTGTTTAGGCTGGAGGGAGCTGGGTTTCCAGCAAGTGCAACAGAGCTCTCACACAGCTTACTTACTGTGCTATTACTTACGTACTACTGCGAGCCAGGTATAGTGTTGAGCACTTTATATACACCTCCTCAAGGAGTCTCTATAAACACCTGTTGCAATGAGTGCTCCAAAGACTGAGGCTCAGCAAAGCAAAGTGACTCATCCAGGGTCTCACAGCTGGGCAGTGTAGACTGCAGGTGCTCAGAATGCCAAAACCCACATGTGGCATCTCTCCTAGAAGCATCTAATCACTGACTGACTTAAGGACAACTGCTCTTATGCAAACTCCTCTGTGCGTCTTTAAAGTTTGTTTCTGGGGAAAGGTCCCACTGTGGAAAGGAGGTTGTCCTCACGTTATGACTCTAAGGCCTTGGAAACATCAGAGACCACGATGGGTCACTGGGGAAAAAAACTAAAGGCAGATACACCCCTCTGCCCACCTCCCTGCTCATCCCTTTGTGAATGCCTTGTAAGTCAGGTGAAAATATGTGAGAAGAGGGATTCTGCTTAAAAAATGAAAAAGTGCTATCACGAAAGGTAAGTTTTCCTAAACATAAGACCCAGGGACCATCAAGGAGAAGGCTGAGCGGTCTCAGCTCCATCAGGTCTCCCTGCTGCGCCCCACCCAGCCCCAGCACTAGCGCACCCTATCTTCATCTGCCTCTTCCAACTGAGTTTTGCTCCAAGCACAGTCTCACTCCTACCTGTTCCCATACCTATCCACAACTGTTGCTGGTAACAAAACTCTGTCTTCTACTACACTGGCCCCTTAAATCTTTCAAACTTTCTCCCCTCACTCCACTCCCAGCCTAGTTCTTTCTCACAGTATTGCCTTGGGCACCGGGAGTGGGGAGCACAGTGACAAACACTGACAGTCTCAGCAAAGGAAGGGTGGGGTATGGAAGGAGAAGAAAGAAGGTTACCAAGTGGCAGGGGCAGGATGGAAAAAGGAGACCCAGAGTTAAAGATACAGTCCTAGTAGGCAGGAGGGCTGGCCCAGGATGCAGGGCTTGAGGGACAGAGGGAGAGTCTGGGATTGGCCCGGAAACTCAGAAGGCTCAGGCCTAGCACCCAGGGCTCTGGCTCCCAGTGGGGCCTGCTCCCTATGACTGTGTAGCCCTGTGGACAGACAACACCCCAAGTGGGCACCTGGCTGGGCAGCATTGTTCATGATCCTGATGAGCCTTTCAGCCAACGGATGGTTGTAGGTGTTCTTCTCTGCCACATTTGGCACTGGGAGCTGGATTCGTTCTAATTTCTCAGGATCCATGCCTGGAACAGAGGAGAAGGATGTAAGCAGAGCTGCCTCCTGACTGCGTGACCTCCTCGTCCTGAGAGACCCTGCAGAGTGCGGTTTACTCAACTTCAGCCACATATGTTCCCTCTTGGTGATTTCTTTCCTTTCTTTTTTTTAAATTTTTAGTAGAGATAGGGTTTCCCCATATTTCCCAGGCTAGGCTTGACCTCCTGAGTTTCTCAAAGTGCTGGGCCTCCCAAAGTGCTGGGATTACAGGTGTGAGCCACTGTGCCTGGCCCCTCTTGGGAACTGCTGTCATGACTGGTTGCTGTCAGTGCCACAACTTATCGCAGAGCTCTCCGTAAACTGAACTTACATAAATGTATTAAGACATACATTTTGTCTTATACTTATAAAACAGGAAATCAGGATTGATGCAATAATTGCCAGTAATAATTTTTTAAAAATCAAAAAATGTTTTTACATTTCAGCCAATGACTGTTAACTCTCTACTCATGGTGGCCCAAGGCCTGATCTTTGTTAAAAAGGGCAGTTGGCAGGTACTTAATAGTGTTGGAGAGGGGCTAGCCCCAAATGGTGACATTCTCCCAGACATAGCAGAGGAAAGGGAACGGAGAAGAAAAGTGGGTAACCATCTTGGAGCACAATTCACAGCCACTGCGTGCCAGGTCTGCGGGCCACCTGAGGCCACTCCCGTATTAGGCACCTTCTATACCTGGGAAAACTGAGACCTAGAGAAACAGAGACTAAATATGAATGAAACTACAGTCATCCCCAACAACTGTGCCCTTTAGTTTTTAACAACAAACTCAAAAGCTGGGCCCCACCCTCAACACACACAGGAGGAATCAGGTTCTAAGCCAGGTGAGGCAGAGGCCACCCCTGCCCCTGAGGATGGCATTGGCAGAACGAGACTAAGCTAAACCTTTCTTACATAACCGTGCACCCGTGCACATATGAGGGTGGCACAAAAGTAACTGTGGTTTTCGCCATTGAAAGCAATTGCAAAAACCGCAATTACTTTTGCGCCAACCTAATACAATGACACCAATACAGCAGAGATCTATCATTAGGAGGCAAGGAAATCATTTATTCTCCAGTGAAAATTCAACAATTCCTTCTGTGAAAACTAACAGCATTTAAAAGATAAAAGACGAGATGCGGGCGGGGAAGGTAAGTGGGAAAGGAAAAAGGGAACAGGCAAGTGTATGACTAAGCCCTGTTGTCATTCCTCCTAAAGAAGCACACAGGACCTGCAGTGACACAAGACCTGTTGGGCCTAGTAGGACAGTTCCCAACTAGGGAAAGGGTCTTTACACTCCTTATCTGCTCATCTGCCCCTTGCAGAAACAAACATCTAGCTTGATCCAAGCTTGGAGAACTAAATGGATTGTTTGTGCTTCAAGCACGTCTTTTCCTGTTATTCTATGAAAGGGGGAAAGGTGGCACTTCTCGGAACTCTTGAAATATGGTCCCTTGAGTACCAGATGACGCTTCATTTAGAACCTTGACAAAATAGTGGAAGATAGCATTGAGGAGCTGATTGCTGGATTCTAAGTAACTCCTGCACACACACATTGATGTAATAAGCCATAACAATCCATCTTGCTTTTCTGAATTCCTTCCAGCTCCTAGAGACAGGCTCAGTCCTACCAAGGAGATGACCTGTGTGGGGGACGGCCTAAAGGTTTGAGTTCGGTAGTAGTCTCTCTCATGCCCCAAAACTCCTCACAAATGTGGCTTCCTCAACAAATTTGATTGCAGTAAAAATTTAATTTGTGGCTTCTGTATCCCGTGTTAATGTGTAACTCTGAAGGATTCTGGCTTATTGAATGGCAAGAAGATTGTCAATTGAATCTTTTTGGCATTTGTTTTTTCCAGAGATGTCAACACTGTCCTAACACCTCTCTACTTGTTAATTTCTGGCCCTTTGAGAACTGCCAGTCAGTAGTTCTGCGGGGGAATAAAAGTTCCTCTGCATTCCACGTGCATCGCCCAACTTTATAACCAACCAGCAATCACTCCACTTCAGAGAGGACAGCGGAAAGGGCCCGGCCACTGGCTCCTTCTAGAACAGGGCCGTGGCCACAGAACCATGGAAAGAGGCAAACTAGGCCCAGGTCTTGAATTTCCACAGAGAGGTCCCTTTTGTTTATTTTCTATCATTGTCCCTCCACCTCCTCAGAATTTGTGGACAATGAAGAAATCTGTGGCAAGCTCTTTTCTTGACAGGAGAAAAGCATCCCAAGATGATCCTGACCTTTCTCAAGTCTCCATGAAGGGAGGGTCCCAGAGGATAGAAACACCTCCCTCTGCACTGGATTCCAAGTGCAGCCCCTTCCTTTTGTGAGAAAGTTAAGGCCCAGAGAGGTGAAGCTGTTTCCCCAAGGTCAGAGAGCAAGTTAGAGACACAGCTCAAACCACCTTCAGATGATCCACAAGGTGAGCAGGGTCCAGATGGGAAAGGGTGGCAGCACCCACAGAGCCAACCCACCAGGGATGCCCAGAGTGCCCGCCAATAGCCACCCCTCTGTGCCCCTGGGCTCACTCTCTCCTAGGGGGACAGCTGGGTACAGTGGAAATGAGAAGCCTGGGGGTGGGGTGTGGAAGGAACTTTGTTTTGATACTTCACCTTTTTGAACCTCAGTCTCCTCACCTGTGAAGTGGGAATAATTATGGTAACTATCCGTCCCACAACTGGTATCAGCATCAAAAGAGAAAAAGCACTGTCACAGGTCAACAATTTTAATTCTCATTATGATGCACAAATGGGGATTTTTAGTTTGAGCATTGCTTAATGCATGGATGACAATTTTTAGCTTGAGCATGGCTTGATGTGTTTCCTTATCATTCGTGTTATAAAAGGAAAGTTAGGCCAGGTGCAGTGGTTCACGTTTGTAATCCCAGCACTCTGGGAGGCCAAGGCAGATCACCTGAGGTCTGGAGTTTGAGAGCAGCCTGGTCTATGTGGTGAAACCCTCTCTACTAAAACTACAAAAATTAGCTGGGTGTGGTGGCACACGCCTGTAGTCCCAGCTACTCGGGAGGCTGAGACATGAGAATCGCTTGAACCCTGGAGGCAGAGGTTGGAGTGAGCCAAAACCACGCCACTACACTACAGCCTGGGTGACAGAGTGAGCCTTGGTCTCAATTAAAAAAAAAAAAAAAAAAAAAGGAAAGTTAGAACAAGATAACAAAATGAAAAAAACCTGGCAGCTAAACAGAGGTACAGGCAGACCAAAGGAGGCGTGCGGAGCTGCTAGGACCCCTCTCAGGGGGCAAGCTGCTCAGGTTGGGTCCTAAAGGATGAACAGGAGTTTGCTTTGAGCCAGACAGTGGGGGCCAGGGCTTGCCAAACCAAGGTGGGTCTGCAGGGAGTGGAGCAGAGCCAGGGAGGGGATGATGAGGTGGAAGATAGGGGAAGGGACAGGCAAGGCTTTGTGCCAGGATCCTGGAGGGTGATGCAGTGGAGGGACCCAGGAGAGGCAGCTAGCAGGCAGTGACATGATCTGGTTGTGTCCTGGCTGACTGTGGGGTGGTTCCAGTCCCCTGGCTGCTCCAAGTGGTCTCCATGCTTCCGGTCCTTTCCCCCAAATCGACCTGGTACTGCCATGCAGTCCATGTGAGGTGGATTTTACCACCAGCCCTGGGAGGCAGAGAGCAGAGGTGATTCCACGCAGCATACGGCAAAATTATGCAACAGAAACCCCTCTGAACATCTCCCTTCTTTCCCCAAAGCTTCTCCTGAGCCAGGTGCCCCATTCTCTCTCCCCACTCTTTTTCCCACCATGGCCTCTAAAATCCCCTCTGTTACTCTGAACTATCAAGTGTTTTCAAGCAGCCCTTATCATTTACCAAAGTACTCAGTCAAAACAAACAAACAACAAAAACCCCAGTCTCTCCGGGGAAGGAGGGTGTCTTTGGAAAAAAGGAGGAGAGGATTCTGCTAAGACGACAAGATTGCCTTCACATGGTACGCCCTGAAGAAATGGTGACCATCAGCCAGGCATGTGACATGTAATGCTTCATTTCATCCCCATGACACTCTGTGAAGTGGGTGATATTATTTCCATTTTATAGATGAGGAGGCTGAGGCTCAAAAAAAGACATGAAGCTTGCCTGAGGTCATGCAGATAGCAGAAAGCCCAGCCCTGAATGCAGCCATATGGCTCCTACCTCCATCCTCTCTGCTGTGTCCCATGATCCCTGTGGGTTAATTCTCTCTCCCTCCACCTGCCCAATCTATGCATGTCATGTGATCTAGCGGTGTTCTTGGCACAAACACAACAGTCCATAAATTTCTGCTAAATTAATTTTTTTAATAAGTTGAGTAGTTTTGATCAAATTTAGGGCAGAGGATCAGACAAATCTCAAAATTAAGGGGAAACACACATAAAATAGAAGCCACCATATGACAGCTGTGCAGAAAAGCCCAACCATCACCCACACACAAAACAGGCTAGAAAGAAATAGACCCTGTCAGCAGTTGGTTATCGTAAGGTGGTATAATCAAAGACAAGTGAAAAAGCAACTTATTCTCATTTTTGTTTTTAGAACAATCATTGCCTCACCATCACTGTTCTTAGGAGAGCATTTAATTTGTGGGAAACATTAGATTTGGGTTTAAATCTCCTTCCTGAAACAACCTGGTGGCTGACGGTTCTGAATGGATAAGGTCAACCTCACTGTGTAACAGGGACATTCGAGTGAAAGGTAAGACGGCACCTGTGTGCAAGGACACACACACACTCACTCACACATGCTCACGCACATGCATACCCCACAGTTTTCAGTCACAGAAAGGCAGATTTTGCAGTAGCTTCTTTGCCAGTCATGTCCCTTTGAGAGAAATAAACACTGTGGATAATAAATTACCCTATTTGCTTCAACTTTTAAGCGCCTGGTGACAGACAAATTCCAAAGAAACCCTGCTGCACTTCACCGGAGCACTAGCTCATTCCAGCTTCCAGCAGATCGCATGTTCCCTGCCCTGCCCTGCCCACAGCCCTGCCTC